CACCACAGTGCAACAGTGAAAACGGACCCCTTTCAAACAGTGTCGCGTTCTGAACGTTGTTTAAGTGACACACCGATATTGCGGTATTTAAAAAAAATTTAAAAGTTTTTAAAAAGTTTTTAAAAAGTTATGCGAGACTTGTGCAATTAAAAACAGTATGTTACATTATTGTGCTGTCACATGATTTTATTCAAATGCCAATGTCGGGAAAGGCCATAAGGAACACTGACCTGGGCTGAGCAACAATAGAGGACAATATTAAATGCTGTCAGATGCCATTTTAATTCTTCCCACCAACCAACCGCACATAGGATTGTACGATATCAAAAAAGAGAAAGATACACAGGGCTCAACAGTGCGAGCATTTCACTCGCTTTTGCACTTTAAAATGTATATATCAGCATGTGTGCTAATAAAAAAAACTCCTAACAGGTTAATCTAATAATTCTTAAATTTGGGGATGGAAAAAACGGAATCGTGATTCAGCCTAGCGTGATTATTAAACTTCATTAAAAAGTGATTTCATTAAATAAATAAGCACTACACATTCCAGTTATAACGCAGCGTTCTACAAACTCACGGTTTCAGAGCAGTTTGCAATCAATTAATATCACACATTTATACTAATAGATTGCTTATGACCTGCTGTTGTGGTGGGGTTATGGGGGGGAAATAAGGTAGCGACTTGAACGAGGGGGGTAATAATTTGGCAGGGGGTCAAAATTGGGCACAACACTGGCAATAATAAAGTATAGGCATTTTAAAATAAGAGTCTCAGTGAATTGAGTTTATTATTAAACACACTATATATATATATATATATATATAGTGTTGTTGTTGTTGTTGTTACTCCATAAAGCACGACAAACCGCCAAATAACTGTTGTCCTCCACTGTCTTCTTAAAGCAGCACTTACACACAGAGGCGGAGAGCATCCAGCAGCTGTCTCTTAACGGACACTACACTGAATTAATAAAACACGTCCTAAGTGCCGGGTGTGAAGGGCTGACAGACAGACATGCGTGTGTGTCAATGTGCGTTTGGGACGGGCACAGGACCATTACCCAGCCACAAGATGCAAATAACGCTTAAAAGCACGTTTTACCTCCTCTGTAAGTCGTTTTCAAAGGGTTTGAGGTAAGGATCCATTTGTAGAAGGGAGTTCAAGTGAGGAACTGAAACATTATACTCCGATTCTGCCATCTTCGCGTCAGACCAGAGCAATCGAGCACCGACTCCCTCGATTAAAGCGTGAGACTACCGCTTTCACTGGGGTGCAATGAGCAGCGGTTTGTGTTGCGCTGTCATTTGAGACACAGTGTCATGTTTTTTCGCCCTGCCCAAAACAAGAGGATGTGTCTTCATGGGCTCACTTCTCATGTTTGTTCTTGGCAGCGTGGTGCTTTAAGATGACCGCGCAAGCATTCGGAAGAGGGGTGGAGGATTTTGGGGGAGGTGGAGAGTCGAATCATTGAACGTTTTGCCCTTGACAAAGTTCAACCCTCTTAATTTTTTGATAAGGACAGACCCTCGGCTCTCTGTCAACGTCACACCGTAAATATCAAATATAAAGCAATGGAATATAAATAGATAAGAATAAAAAGTTATGAATAGTGTACATGAATATCCAAGCAGTGTCGTGTGCTGAGACCTGCTATAGCCTACTCTATTTAAAGCTATTTGAAATATAGCTTTTCCACGACATTCTAATTTATTGAGATGCACCTGTATATGGCCCTTATTGGGCCATATATTAATTCTTGATCTTTTTATCCTTTGCTGAAATACTGTATAATAGGCTGTGCGATATGTGGCATGTTCTCTTTACAGAACATCACCATATGGTTTGGTTAGTTTCAAGGTTAGATGTAAAGATAAAAAGGGCCTATTCATGTAAACTTCACAGAGAGAGAAAAAGCAAGAGATATTTCATCAGCTTATTGCCTTTCCACAGGAGGCTTGTCTTTATTCAACAAAAAGTGGCATTTTTACAACCATTTTAACAATTTCATTGACCAAAAAAAAAAAAAAAAA